GGAGCATTTTTGTCAATGTGTCCTTATCAATAATTCTTGAAATATTGTATGAAATTCAAGCTTTGTTTTTTATCTGTTATCCATTGTCTCCTTAAAAATATTCTATATGTTAAGGTTTTTTGTTTAAGAGACAGTCTTCCAAAAACTAACAGTTTCTTTGTATCGGTATAACCCTGTATGGATGTCCATCCAATAAGTAGGCCACAACACAATGTCAGTGCAAGTTCTGTTATGAAATCCCTGAATTGCTGTTATAATTAATCTATGTGTTCTCTCTAAAATCAGGACGTCATTCCTAATTAAAACCCAAACTCACAACCATAGAGTGCTGACGTATACACAGTTTGTTTAATAAGTTTACCAGCAATCACTGGGTCTAATTTACCGCTTTCCTCATTTAGATCTCTCACGCTTCCATCCGGCTCATCAGGAATGATTGAGATAAACCATGAGATTGTTTAGCTATAGTAAAATACATCAAGTTTATAGCTATATTTGAAGAACAGTGAACGAATGTAACCCACGTTATCCAATAAGACTTACACACACATATTGATTTGGGTGGACTCGATATTTAATTTTACATGAACATGTACCTAGGTAAGTCTTCGATATAATACCCAACAGCAGCATACAGGCCATTCAATGTAAACACTTAACCAACTCCATGTTAAACGACAGTAAAATCACGTGACCACTGGTCTTGTGGTGTTACATGCAAATTAATATCCAAAATTAGAACGTAACGAAAAGAAATTAACGAAAGTACACATCGACCTAAATCATGATTCTAGCAGCACAAGAAGACGTGCAAAATGAGGTAACCGAATGTCAGTAATTATCAACGATGTCTGAAGTAGTTTAAATCAAAACCTGAAGACTGTAATTATGAAAAATGATTCGTAACGAAAGAAGAGCATTTAGCTTTCAGTCCCGTACTTAAAACCCAGTTTGCACTCTAGACATTCAATCAACACCCAGTCCATGTTACAACATATATGTTATTAAGATAAAGGCGGGAAATATAGCGAGAGATAGGGTGGATCCACAGGCGAACTTCATTACAATGTTGATCGGTAGATAAAGGGTTTGACAGTATCTTGGTGTTTAAAAATAAAATTAATTTAATCAATAAAAAAAACAAATCTTAAGGGTTTTACATCAACCATTACGGCCTTTTCACCTTTCAGTGGACGAGCCCAAATATTTTGCGTCTCCGGCGAGGGCGAATTATACAAATAATATAACTCACTAAAACTATATAGAGGCAAGCGCCGGAAGGAGGATTTGTTGCTATGGGAATTTATGTTAACATATCACTTCGAAAATTTAGTGTTTCAACACATAGTTTTAAAAGAAGGAATCATGCACGGTCTGAGTTGAACATCAATTCGACAAGTAAAAAGGAAAATTTACTACTGAAAAAGTCTATACATTTCTAATGATCCTCAGTCGTGGAGTCACTACCGGAGATAGGTATTGCCCCGATACTCAGTCGTGGAGTCACTACCGGAGATAGGTATTGCCCCGATACTCAGTCGTGGAGTCACTACCGGAGATAGGTATTGCCCCGATACTCAGTCGTGGAGTCACTACCGGAGATAGGTATTGCCCCGATACTCAGTCGTGGAGTCACTACCGGAGATAGGTATTGCCCCGATACTCAGTCGTGGAGTCAATATCGCGGAAATGTATTGCCCCGGATAACGATGTCTGGTATAAATCCCGGTATGGGAATTTGTCCTAATGCTTATGTCTAGGGCCAATCCTGGGGTGGGGAGTCGATCTAATGGTGATGTCTGGGGACGATCCCGTGGATAGGGAGTTGTCCCAACGGCAATATCTAGGGCCAATCCCGGGGGTGGAGATATGTCCTAATGATGATGTCTGGAGCCAATCACGGGGATTGGAAGTTGTTCGAATGATAATGTCGTGAATCAATCCCGGGGGTGGGAAGTTGTCCAGGTGATGATGTCTTCGCAGGGGCAGTGAACGGTTCAGACGACCTATAAAGCAATCCCGAGATTGTAACTGTTACACATTGAATCTATTGAATTTTTCACAACAACTATCTTTGATGAACGATCTGTTGATGTTCACAGAAAACCTTTTATCTTCAACATCGATTCCAGCAGATGATCACGGCGCATGTACATGTGTTAGCACCCGTTTACCGTTGTTATGGAAACGAAATACATAACTGACGAATAACGAAGAAGCCGTCATGGACAGGTTGCCATGATTATATGCGTTAGTTGATGGCCCTAAACACAGCTAATACGTGTGTGATGAAACCAGATTGATGATTCTGTGTACAAGGAGATTTTCTATTCGCTTAATCGATCTTGTAATGTTACAAAATTGTCTTTAACCGTCAACAGGCGATATTGAAATGATCGATCAGATTTTCATCAAGATTGTTCTGGAGGAGTGGTTTTATCAGATTAGCTAGATATACAGGTATATCACTTTATATACCGGCAAAATCAGTGAAAAATATCGTTACATTAATCAAATGGTTATTTAGAATAGCAAAGCCAGTTTTCCCTCCGTGGAATAATAGCTGGTTTCCGACGTAGCGCAAATCCTTGATTCCTGCAATAATGACACAGATTGGGCACATATACAGCAACGGCCTGAACTGAGAGGAAATGTTAACTTGATCGTCAGGTAAGAACAGGTGACTGTGAATCATATCTATCACTGTATATCTGTCTTATATTCTATCTATCACTGTCTTATATTCTATCTATCACTGTATATCTCTGTCTTATATTCTATCTATCACTGTATATCTCTGTCTTATATTCTATCTATCACTGTATATCTCTGTCTTATATTCTATCTATCACTGTATATCTCTTTCCCTGGTTTCTTATGTATATCTCTGTCTTATATTCTATCTATCACTGTATATCTCTGTCTTATATTCTATCTATCACTGTATATCTGTCTTACATTCTATCTATCACTGTATATCTCTGTCTTATATTCTATCTATCACTGTATATCTCTGTCTTATATTCTATCTATCACTGTATATCTCTGTCTTATATTCTATCTATCACTGTATATCTGTCTTATATTCTATCTATCACTGTATATCTCTGTCTTATATTCTATCTATCTCTGTATATCTCTGTCTTATATTCTATCTATCTCTGTATATCTCTTTCCCTGGTTTCTTATATATCTCTGTCTTATGTTCTATCTATCACTGTATATCTCTGTCTTATATTCTATCTATCACTGTATATCTCTTACATTCTATATCATTATATATCTGTCTTATATTCTATCTATCACTGTATATCTCTGTCTTATATTCTATCTATCACTGTATATCTCTGTCTTATATTCTATCTATCACTGTATATCTCTGTCTTATATTCTATCTATCACTGTATATCTCTGTCTATATCTCTATCACTGTATATCTGTCCTACATTCTATCTATCACTGTATATCTCTGTCTTATATTCTATCTATCACTGTCTTATATTCTATCTATCACTGTATATCTCTGTCTTATATTCTATCTATCACTGTATATCTCTGTCTTATATTCTATCTATCTCTGTATATCTCTGTCTTATATTCTATCTATCACTGTCTTATATTCTATCTATCACTGTATATCTCTGTCTTATATTCTATCTATCACTGTATATCTCTGTCTTATATTCTATCTATCTCTGTATATCTCTGTCTTATATTCTATCTATATATTCTTTATGGTCTACTCTAACACTGTCTGACCTTTATTCTATGCTTTGATATATATTTTTGTGTCCTGTAATTTTGTCGGTAGCTTTATATTTCCTATTGACCCATATGTCCTATTTCTGCGTCCTGTTTTTTTCTATCATTATTTTTTTTGTCTTTATTCCCGTCATTGGTTCCATTAAGAAACGGTAAACATGGAGTGATCAGCTCGACACACATATACAATGTTTGTTCTTACAAATCGATCCACGTGTACTGTGTCAAAGTATTTACAAGGACTTTACAATTGCTGTTGCTGTTACAAAACTGTATTTTCGATTGTCGAAAGTTTCTTTCTTGACCAAAGGCTTTTAGCAAAAGGGATCTTACGGATGTATAGCATATATTACCGTGTCGTTTTCCCTGGTTTCTTTTGTATTTATTTCTGTGTTGATAATTATGGTCACAGAGGAAATTAAAGGCCATCTAAGATAGTAGCTTTTAAATTACTGAGATGTCTGAATGTTCTCCACGAAACTACAATCAATCGGAGCGAGAAGCGTGCGTCACGGATACACCGAGACGTTACCAACCATGTTGGTGTCCCGCAATTCTTGTTCCTTTGTTAAAGCAACAGATATTTATTACTAGAGTAATTATGTCAGTAGTGAGACTGCACACAGTTATATTAGTTTCCTTCGTTTGTCACAGAGTTCCAAGGAAGACGGAATACGACACTAAAGGGGACATAAATTCACCGTTAGGAGTTCAACATCAATGGCAAGGTGTGGATTAATGTTAATTAAAGTATCTATCAGACTAAACTGATACCTCAAACAAGTGGGAAAGTTCAACACACGTGAATTATAAGGCAGATTTATTACATCAAGCTGTACGATATTGGATGATCATGTTTTAACTTTGGAAGTGTATTATGATGCTATATATAGTAACATTACACTGAACCTGTACTTCAGGTGCTGACTGTAGAATTGGACCTTTGTTAAATAGGTCACTGTGAAATCGTTGAGAAATACACCATACTCTCGCTCAACCCTGTCTGGGTTAACTTTGAGTCCTAGATATTTGATATTAGTTATAGTTTTCAACATTGGTACTAAAACCGTCATTAAAAAGTTTGAAACATTTTTGATGGCTCACGTAAAGACACTCTGCATATAGGCAAAACTAATTAAAGAACAATTGTCCCGGGAAAAATCTCCCGGACATGTGTTACACGCGATTCAACTTCTGAATAATTTGACTAAAACTCATTACAATTAAACAGTGTCAACATGACGGACTTGCCAATTCAGATTACGGAACCAGTCGGATTACGAAATGTGTCTGAACCAACCCCAACTCGTCATATCACGGAGCCACGAAAATCTCGGCGGATAACGGAACCATTCGGACCTTCTAATTCCCGACATTCGGAATCAAAGAATGTCGTCCACGTCGGCCATCCGATTCCACAGAGACGACAAACGTATTGTGGAGCCTCTGTTCAGTATGAGGACCTTCAAAGGGTTCAGTTGACTGTATCTGAAAACTTTTCCTCGGAAGATGACGACATTTCCGGTCAGAAAACGTGGCAGGAAGTTGGGGCCGTTTCTGATTTGGTACGGTTTCATTGTCAGCGGTTGTACTCTAAAGCTGGAGGACGAAGTGACCTGGGTCTTTTTTATAACCGTGGAACATTCTATGCTATGGGTGCGTGGTGTGGACACATGGGTAAGATAGCTGCTTCTAAAATTTCCTCTATTGTTCTGTTTATGATAATGAAGAGGTTTGTAAATGTGGTTGTTCATGGTTATCCTATTTAATATATGTAAAGTCGGTAAGGTTATTGTCAGACATACATATATATCTATACATATTACATATTTGTGTGTATATGTGTGTAAAGTCGGTAAGGTTATTGTCAGACATACATATATATCTATACATATTACATATTTGTGTGTATATGTGTGTAAAGTCGGTAAGGTTATAGTCAGACATACATATATATCTATACATATTACATATTTGTGTGTATATGTGTGTAAAGTCGGTAAGGTTATTGTCAGACATACATATATATCTATACATATTACATATTTGTGTGTATATGTGTGTAAAGTCGGTAAGGTTATTGTCAGACATACATATATATCTATACATATTACATATTTGTGTGTATATGTGTGTAAAGTCGGTAAGGTTATTGTCAGACATACATATATATCTATACATATTACATATTTGTGTGTATATGTGTGTAAAGTCGGTAAGGTTATTGTCAGACATACATATATATCTATACATATTACATATTTGTGTGTATATGTGTGTAAAGTCGGTAAGGTTATAGTCAGACATACATATATATCTATACATATTACATATTTGTGTGTATATGTGTGTAAAGTCGGTAAGGTTATTGTCAGACATACATATATATCTAGTGCGGTATGTCTGTCGACGTTGTTTTGTGTTGATGCTTCGGTGTTCTTGTGTGTTGATGTAGTACACTAAGCATGTTGATAACCAGATATTGATATTTATGCAAACAAATATCAAAATAACGAGATACATTATTACTGAACGGATAAGGCAGCTTTGAAATTACCACCAAACGTTTTAGTGGCAGCCGATCATTAATATAAGGACGACGGGTTGACGGAATTCATTACAATCTGTGTGACTTTTGTACAGAATTGTTAGCCTTTGTTGATATATTACGACCGGGAAAGGAAACCACCATGAATGGTCAATATTTCAGTGTAATAGCACTACAAACATGTCACCGTTGCCATACGGTTATACTGTGACAAGGACGCAAAATCATAATGCTTTTCGCTCGCCATTATGACCTATATTGGAAATCTGAAGTTGAATATTTTGAACCCTCGTTAGAGTTTCATTTTCACTACGTTTTCCCATTTTGACATTCTCGGGAGGTTCCTTGATTTCTATGGCGGTTTCCGTCAAATGGCAGAAAATCTATTTTAAAGATTTTTCTGACTATCTTAATGATCCCCCAAGGACAGCCTTCGCGTTATTTGTTTTGTCCTTCCATCCAGTTTGAAGCTTGTTTTTCGTTGCCATTGCGAAATTCCCTCCCTTTTTTAAAATATGTTTATAAAACTCATCAGCACATATTGGAATTATTTTAAGAATTAAGACACAGATTATTTCTGAAATAGAATTTCATTAAGACTGCTATTGCTTCAAAGGCAACATTAACGACAACACAAAAAGAGAGAGAAAAACATCTTTAAAACAAACTTACTCAAAACAAAAAAGGTCGAGATTGTCCATTTCACAATTTCCTTAAAATACGTCCCTTATTAAATATATTTGTGAAAATACACAAATTTCTACCCTCAAAAATATGCATGACTTTCAACAGAAACATTTCGCGAGAGTTATAACAAGAAACAACAAGAAAACACCAACATGTCAATATCCGTAATATAATAAAAACGCCACCTGGTGACAGGGTCGGTAACTCGTGACGAAAACAATCGTCGAGATCGACACACATGATTGCGGTCCACTGCCCTCCAGGTAAACTATAATCACTGGTCAGAGCTTGGTCGTATTTGTGAGGTCAATTATCGTTAATAAGTGGTCGTTGGGACTGTAAGAAGTGGTCGTAATACGGAATAGCGGGATGGTCGTAATACTGAAGCGACCAATACAAAAATAGATAATGAAAAAAACGGGACTGAAGAAGAATTCCCCGTAGAAGCGGGGCTGTCGTAATTTTGTGGATATAATGGTATGAGTGTAATTGATTACCTTTTGATGCCTTTTGCATTATTTCCTACAGTTAAAAAATTTCTTGTGTGTAATTTTACAGAATTTTCTGATCATGCTCCTTTACATGTACAACTTTTTTCCAATATTTTGAAAGTGACAAAAGGTGATGAAGATCATGCTGAATCTGTAGAAAATTTCAGGTTTAAATTTACTTGGGATGACAATTTCAAACATCAGTTTTTAGAGGCATTGAATATAAATTCAGATAGCCCCAAGGAGCACATTCAAATTAGTGGCGAACTCAACCAGGAAACTATTGATGGTAGTGTTATGAATTTTACAAACCAGTTACAAGAAATTATGGAGCCATTTTTCAAGAAAACTGTTTCTGTAAATGTTTTTGACAAAGCTGTTTGTGGGCGAGCTAACCACTCAAAACGTGAAGACAAACCATGGTTTAACGGTGAAGTTAAATTCTTACGTAGGCAATATTTAAATGCTTTGAGTAATTTTAATAAAAATAAGAATTCTACCACGCACGAGGTTTTAATTGCAAAGAAGAAACGTTATAAAGTGTTAGAAAGAAAGTTGAAAAGTCAATACATGATTTATGAGGGTGATATGTTGGAATATTTGCGTAAATATAATCCTAAATATTTTTACAAAAGGTTTTAAAAAGTAACTGTAACTGAACACCCCAAATGTCATTGAACTAATTATTTGACCATTTTAATAGTATTGCTAATATTAACAATAGGGTTGCTTCAAACCCCTCACTTGAATACGAAAGTGTCGCTGATAATATGGTAATATTTGAAGAGTTAGATTCATATTTTTCTACTGATGAAATACTTTCTACAATAAAGAAACTGAAACGTGGCAAATCACATGGTCAAGATTGTTTACTGAATGAATGTTTTATTGAAGGCAGAAATTTTCTGTTACCACTGCTTCAAACTTTATTTAACAACATCTTAAGTTCAGGTTGTTTTCCGTTTGATTGGTCTACTGCTGTGATTGTACCAGTTCATAAGAAAGGTGATCGTACAGATCCTAATAATTTTCGTGGTATTAGTCTAATTAGTTGTTTATGCAAATTGTTCACGTCTATTCTAAACAGTAGACTGCTAGGTGTGTGTATAAGACACAACATTCTTACAGATGCACAATTTGGATTCAGACCTGGTGTAAGTACGATTGATGTTATTTTTGAGTTGCATACGATTATTTCTTAAACATTGTCCAATAAAAAAGGGTTATACTGTTGTTTTGTAGATTTTAAATTAAATTTTTTATATAACTCAGTAAAATCTTGCGTTTTGTTAAAGGGAAAGTGTTCAGATTATTTCCCTGATAATGTCGGATTGATGCAAGGGGAAATTTTATCACCTCTGTTACATTAATGATTTCGAACAAAGTTTTATTGAGAAGGGCGCGACTAGTTACGATTTTGGTGATCTCAGTCTTTTTCTCCTTCTATATGCAGATGACTTGGCTTTATTTTCCGAAACGGTTGAAGGATTACAAAACTTGTTGAATAATTTAAGTTCTTATGCTGATAATTGGAAACTAATTGTTAATACAGAGAAAACAAACATTGTCGTTTTCCGAAATGGAGGTATTGTCAAAGAAAATGAGTGTTGGACATACAAAGGGGAAAGTATTGATATTGTTGACCAGTTTTGTTATTTGGGCACTCTTTTTCGTTTTAATAATAAATTTAGTTGCATGATTAAGCACGTTGTTGATCAAGGACGTAAAGCAATTTTTTGTCTTCGTACCAAATGTAATTCTTTGAATCTAAATGTTAAAACTAAGTTACATCTTTTTGATACTTACGTTGGAAGTATTCTTTTTTATGCATGTGAAGTTTGGGGTAGCCTCAAAGCGACTGAGTTGGAAAAAATACATCTGGAGTTTTGTAAAAATCTGCTTGGTGTTATGAAGTCTACTTGTAATGCTATGGTTTACACTGAACTAGGACAACTGCCTCTTGTTAACACACAATTGTATAGAATGTACAAATACTGGTTTAAATTGTTAAAGACTGATAATTGCATTTTAAAAGAGGCGTATAATTTTCTGTATATAGATGCAGAGAAAGACAATCAAAAACATACTTGGCTTGTTCATATTAAGCAGAAGTTATTTGAACTAGGATTTGGATACGTGTGGATAAGGCAGTCGCCCTCCGATGTTATTCTTCTCACTAGTATTAAACAGAGAATAGAAGATCAGGATAATCAAATGTTGTTTAATTCTATGCAAATTACTAGCAAATGTTATCTGTGTAGGCATATTGTTGATAAGGTAACTTTGCAATTTTATTTAACAAAATCCTTACCTAAACAAAGAAGAATTATGATAACCAAATTTCGTCTTGCTTCTCATAACCTGGCCATAGAGTCTGGTAGATACAGAAATATATATAAGCGTCTTCGACCTTGTTTAAATTGTAATTCTATGGATATAGAAGATAAATTTCATTTTCTCCTTGTTTGCCAGAGTTATGCAGACCTGAGGAAAAAGTACATTAAGAGTTATTTTTGGCGTAAGCCATCAGTTTTCAAAATGGTCGTTCTTTTGAATTCTCAGAACCTAAAGGAATTAAATTTTGCTAGGTAAGTTTATGATAGAAGCACACAAGCGTATAATTGCATAATTGTATAATTGTATTGCATTTTTTATCCGTCTGACTACTGTCCGTCTCTCCGACTTTTTCAATAGGTTTGTCCGGCCAGTCTAGATCTGTTTTGCTACTATTTACATGTATTTCCTATGTGTAGTATAAGGTATACAAATTGTCGATTTAAATTGCAATGCTGTGCGCAATATGACATATAAATCATAATAACCTGTTTTTCTTGCTCCCTTTGTATAAGTACTTACTTTTGTTGATACTATTGGCGTTGTACGTTATTATTCTTACACAGCTATGCCTTCAAATGTATTTGATTATTTTGTATTATCTATGTACATGTACT